GATAGATAGATAGATAGATAGATAGATAGATAGATAGATAGATAGATAGATAGATAGATAGATAGATAGATAGATAGATAGATAGATAGATAGATTGTGTAATCTAATCCAGACTCAAAATAAAAGACAAACTAACAGATCCATTGGATTTACTTAAACAAATTATGTCTGCTGGTTCCACTTGACTGAACTGAGTAAAGGTAAAGCATTTTTTACATTTACTTTAAATTTACTTTAAAAGTAAATGTTGAGTCAACATGTTATATTCAGTTCAGTGGAAGTAAAACCAACACATCTGTTTTTTAGTGTAATTCTGAAACAATACAATTAGATTCAGTTTTTCTTTATTAAAAAACCAAATTCTTTAATGTAAATTTCTTTGGTGATTTGCAAATGCAAACAGTAGCAGCTGCAGCTAGTTGTAGCACCTCCAGCAGCCAAACACTCAGCAGGAACATAATATTTCTACAGAAATATGCATCATGGACAGAAATGGAAAGGTTCTCTGACCAGACTAACACGCATGATGGATGGTTCATGGAAATACTATTTTTTTTAATATCATTTCAATGAACATCTTAACTTTTTTTTGAGTTGCTTTAAGAGGAAAGCAAAGGCTCAGATTAGCCATTAGCTCATCAGTCTGGTCAGAGTTTACACTAATTAACAGGTAAGATATTAGTTGTTCATAATATTTCCACATTACCCTCAATCAAAAGACATGAACTAGCCCTGTGAAGCTTTCATAAAGTTTCAGTCTGGAGAGTTTGGGATTCAAACCACCGGCTCTTAATGAGCAGCAGATAGAAGTTTTGGTGATGATGCCTGTGGGATGATAAGGTCTTGCATCATCGTTTTGCCAATGACCTCTCGTGTCTCCATTAGTGATGAGTGATTCTTTCATTAAGCGCAGCTGGGCCTGTTGTCTGTCGGCCGCCCCCTCAGCTCCTCCACCTGCCACGTGCTAAACTTCACTGTGCCGTGAGCGAGCTGCGCTTCTGGCTTTCACCATCATCTCCGTGGATGTTGGATTCCTTTCAAACTCCCCTTGGTTCGCTCTGAGATCTGCTGTTTAAGATGGAAGATGACTCACTGCAGTCAGTGTTTGGAAGCCCACACAGGGCTGAGTTGTGTTTGTAGTACTGGCCAAATCCTAATCATGAGTGGTCCACAGCAACCTGGAATAAACCTTATGACTTCTGATTGCTTTCACTTGTTTTAGCTGCGCTGGTTCACTCTGATTTTATAGCTGTTTGGGTGGTCGAGTCCATTTCTCGCTCTCTGTTTTTTTTCTCTCTGAGGGGGAACAATTCTGCAGCCGTCATCATATCTGTCATGTAGCCGTTCAGAGGATCAATGACTTCGCTGCAATTTTCTTGATGCTTTGAGGTTTCAGAGCAGTTCCCTTCGCTCTTTGGTCATACAGGG